CTGGGATCGGGTCCCACATCGGGCTCCCTGCTCATCGGAGAGCCTGCTTCTCCCTCTCCCTCTGCCTGCTGCTCTGCCTACTTGTGCTCTGTCTCTCTCTGCCAGATAAATAAACAAAAAAATCACAAATAAGTAAATAAATAAACAAAACATTTAAAGTGCTAAGGTTGAGAAACACTCAGAGCCAGCTTAAATGCCACTTCTTCCACGAAGCCCTCCTGGGATACTTTGTTTTGGCCGAAGGCCCCCCTCTGTCCGTGTGCTCCCTCTCTTCCCTTCTCCTTGTCAGTGTTGACACATGGGAGTATTCAAGATACTGGAACATCTGCCTCCCCCACCAGCCCATTTGCTCTAGGACGGAGGGGAGTATTTGTTCACAACTGATCCCAGCGCCCAGGGAAGTTAGGCATTGCTTTTTGCCTTGTTGACCCTGGAGCACAGAGAAACGTAGTTTACACAGGCGATGTGACTTTTACCACGGGTTACGTTGGTTTTGGCAGGCTTCAAACGCAGACCCACAGAGACCCATAGTCAAGAGCACACTCTGGGGATCCTGGCAGAAGTGGGTGGATGTCATAATTCTCCCACCTCCCAGTTGAGCGACTTTGAGCAAGTTACTTAATTTCTCTGGAACGGGTGTCATCGCCAGTAAAAGAAGGATCAACATTGAACCTGTTTCATAGGTACCGTGAACGTGAAAAGGTATAACGTACATAAGGTACCGAACGCCACCTCTGACACAGGGTAAGGGATTAACCGCGGAGAGAAAGCAAGGGCACTGGGAGGATGGGACCACAGCCCACAGGCCCTGGGTAGTGGGCCTAGGGGTGCAGTAGGAACTTCAGGAGACTGCTGGTCAACCTCTTCTTCTGAACTTTCTCTACTCTAAGGACGTGCCTACAAACGTCCCATCTTACCTCTCCCCTAGGCTTGTTATGTGGACCCCAAATAGCTCCCCACCCAAACTACAGGGATGCCTAAAAATCACCTACAGGTGGGGCTGAGGGTAGCTTTCCAGACTTTCACTTACCCCCTCTACCTCAGAGGAGCTCTGGCTAACACCCTGGGTTTCTTGCCTGACTTCCCCCAACCTCCCCCGGCCCAGCACGCAACCTTCAGGATGGCGGCTCGTTTGGACCCACGCTGGCTCTAGATGGCTCCACCTTCCTGGGCTCTGCCTGTGGTGCCAGCAGGGGCCCCACACCCTATAACCTGCCCGCCTCACCTCCCACGGGGTCTGAAACCCGGTATGCTGCCAGGTGGCCCCGTCGCCACTGGATCTGGAGCCACAGGGGAATTCAAAACATTTTCAGCGAAGGGTTCCCAGAATCTGATGGCTAGCCTTTCCTCTCCCCTAGGGGAGGAGGATCTGTTTCCATTTCCAGGCCTTTTTGCTTCCTTTCCCCACCACCCCACCCTCATTTTAATCACTCAAAAGCTGTTTTTAAAAGAGACAAAGGTCCATTTCCTTCACTGCTCAGGTCAGTGAACAGAAGTGTCTGTCTGAAGATGGACGGGAAGAGGTTTGCCCGTCTGGGCAGAGAGGACAGCAGATGAGGCACATGGGAGCCCAGACAGGAAATCCTTTAGCTCTGGGAGCTGGTGTTGGAGCCAAGACCTACACAGGTAGCCCGGGAGGTCCATGCACAGGAAGCTCTTGACAGAAACCTCTCCCTGTCCGCAGAGCTGTGTGAGCCCCAGGACGGGATCCAGCAGCTTGGGGGGTGGGAAGAGGTCCCCACAGCCAAGGGAGGAGAGGAGAGGGAGCTGGTGGCATCAGCTCAGCCCCATGCCCGGTTGCCAGCACATCCTGGTTTTCTGTGACTGCAGCCACCCACGCCCAAGGGGGTAGCAGCCCCTCGCTTCTGTCTCCTTCTTTGGCTTTCTGCCCTGGGGCCTGTGAAACCTGATGGGTCAGTTTCTAGATCTGGGCTGATTCACTTCCACTTCCTGGTTCTCACATCTTCAACTTCCGAGACTGTGTGGTTCACCTCCCCCTCAGTCGGCCAAAAGGATGTGGGTGAGTATTTTTTCTTTTTCCCCAAAATGGCCAATGAAAGAGCTGATCTCCTAATCAGCGATTCTTATCCCTGGGAAGTTATTTAAGGGATCAAAACAGCTGAAGTTAGACCTCTGAAGATTTAAATCAGTGACTCGCCTCTATCCCAGAGAGAGGACGTTTCCTCCCTCTCAAGGAGCAGGCATCAGGCTTCTCCCCCACCATCCAGTCTGGTCTTGGCGGGAAGAGCACTTTTGCCTCCTCCATCTCTCTCTCTCTCTCTCTCTCTCTCTCTCTCTCTCTCTTTTTTAAGATTTTTATTTATTTTAGAGAGAGTGAGCGTGAGGCGGGGGAGGGGCAGAGGGAGAAGCAGACCCCCTGCTGAGCAAGGAGCCCAGTGCAGGGCTCCATCCCAGGACCCTGAGACCATGACCTGAGCCAAAGGCAGACAGTTGACCCACTGAGCCACCCAAGTACCCTTGCCTCCTACATCTCTTTTAAGTCACTTTGAAGAAGCAGAGAGGTGCCTTTCCTTGCCCCTTCCCTCCCCCTTTCTGGTAATCCCTCCAACGTGTATAACACAATCTTCCTTCAGTGCCTACTAAACATTTGTGTGATCACATGGAGGGGGAGGTAGCTCAGCAGGGCGGGGAGTTGGGTGAGGGAGGGGAGGCCGCTGGGCACCCAAGGAAAGGGGGCATCACTCTCTAGGGTCTCGTGAGCTTTCTGGCCCTGGCTCTGGCCCTGCAGCTGATGACTGGTGAGAGAGAGCTTCTTCAAGGAGAGACGGTTTACTCAGAGATGGCTGAGGTACAATAGGAAGGGGCTCCACCACGGGCACCTGCCAGCCTCAGCTTCCTCTTGCCTAGGGCAAGGGTCCCGAGGTATGCTCTGTGCGGGCTTTTGCACTTGCCCCATCAGAAGGCCCCTGGTCCCTGGAACTGCAAAGACAAACTTGCATGAATGAGAACTTGAAGAAAATGAGACGTAGTTGTCACGGCAGGGGCACAGGGTTGAAAAGAATTATAATAATATTAAATGACACTTGGGGTGACCTACTCTGTGCCAAGCCCTATGTTAAATACTTCATGGCCATTATTTTGGAAAATCCCCTCAACAACTCTAAGAACTTGGGCACTGGAACAGGCGGCTTTGATGTAAGTCCCAGCCTTGGGACGCTTGGGTGGCTCAGTGGGTTAAATGTCTGCCTTCGGCCCAGGTCATGACCGATCCCCACATGGGGTTCCTTGCTCAGCAGGGAGCTTGCTTCTCCCTCTGCCTCTCCCCTCTGCTTCTGCTTTCTCTCTCTCTCTCTGACAAATAAATAAATAAATAATCTTTTAAGAAGCAAGCAATCCACCCATCCATCCATCCCAGCCTCGCCTCTGTCATGTTGTGTGCCCTTGGGAAATGACCTAATCTTACCGGGCTTCAGTTTCCTCATCCGTAAAATGGGAATAACGGTAGGCCGTACATCATGGTGTTCTGAGGGTTATGTCGGGGAATGCAAGCAGAGCAATGACACGAACACCCTGCACCCAGTGGGCACTCAACAAGTGTTAGCCACAGTTGGCATTGTTAGGGCCTCTTATAGCTTATTTCTAGGGTCGCCCCAACGTAAGTCTCATAAAGTGGCAGCTTGAACAATAGAAATGCATTGTCTCATCGTTCTGGAAAGCAGGAGCCCAAGACGGAGGTGTTGGAAGGTTCGGTTCCTTCAGAGGGCTGTGGGGGAGAGTTGGTGCCATGCTTCTCCCTCACCTTGCAGGGCCTCCGGCGTTGCTTGGCTTCTAGACGGCCATCTTCTTCCTGTGTTTCTTCACATTGTCTCACCTCTGTGTGTTTGTCTGTTTGAGCTGCTATGTCAGTAGTGTAGACTGGGAGGCCCAAACAACACAATTCATTTCTCACAGTTCTGAAGACTGGGGAGTCCAAGATCAAGGCAGGAAATTCAGCATCTGGGGATAGTCTGCTCGCTGGTTCACAGACAGCCGTCTTCTCACTGTGTCCTCATGGCAGAAGGTGAAGGGAGCTCGCTAAGGTCTCCCTCATAAAAGCACTAATTCCAGTCACGAGTGTTCAGCCCTCGTGACCACATCACCTCCCAAAGACCCCACCTTCAAATACCGACACACTGCGGACTGGCTTTCAACATATGGATTTTTCAGGGAACATAAACATTCAGTCTATAGTGTATGGTTTTTTTTCTTTTAATTAAAACAAGTTTTTTTAAAAAATTTATTTATTTGAGAGAGAGAGAGAGAGTGAGGGAACAAGAGCAATGGAGAGTGTTCGAGGGAGAGGGAGAAGCAGACCGCAGGACCCTGAGATCATGACCTGAGCCAAAGGCAGACCCTAACTGACTGAGCCACCCAGGCATCCCTGTAGTATGCGTTTTTATAAAGACTCCCATCATATTGTATTAGGACCCATTCCAAGGACCTTACTATAACTTGATTACCTTTTTTGTAAAGATCCTATTTCCAGGGGCGCCTGGGTGGCTCAGTGGGTTAAGCCGCTGCCTTCGGCTCAGGTCATGATCCCAGGTCCTGGGTTCGAGCCCCACATCGGGCTTTCTGCTCAGCAGGGAGCCTGCTTCCTCCTCTCTCTCTGCCTGCCTCTCTGCCTACTTGTGATTTCTCTCTGTCAAATAAATAAATAAAATCTTTAAAAAAAAAAAAAAAAAAAAAAAGATCCTATTTCCATGTAAGGTCACATTCTGATGTACTAGGAGTCAGGACTCCAACATATCTTTTTGGAGGGGACAAAATTCAACACATAATACAAGGCTAAGTAACTCACTCAAGCTCACACAGCTTGCTGGTGATGAAGGTGGGTCCTGGAACCCTAGATCACTTGGTGACAAATCCCACAGCAATACACCCCAACATAAAGCCCCAGCACTACTCCACCTTTTCTAGACAAGGAGAAAGAACCAAAGAGAGACACTCAGAGTCTGCTGTATTTTAGCCCTTTTCCTTTCTCTCTCCTTCCTCCACAGCCTGCCTGCTGCAGGCTGAGCTGGTGAACTACGAGCGAGTCAAGGAATATTGCCTCAAAGTCCTGAAGAAGGAAGGAGAGAACTTCAAGGCTCTTTACCGGTCTGGTGTAGCCTTCTACCACCTTGGAGACTATGACAAAGCACTCTACTACTTGAAAGAAGCAAGGACCCGACAGCCAACAGGTAAGGTGGCAGTTACTGTTTTCTTACTGGCAGTCCCTCTGGCAGCCTCCCCATCATGGCGCCCAACTGTCATGGCAGGCGGGGCCAGGTGTGGGCCAGGACCTGAAATGAGGAGCTCGGACAGTCCACGCATTTGGCTGGGGTTTTGGTTCCAGGGAGCTTGGGCACCTCTTTTCAAATAGAATATGGAATTCTCTGGGGTTTTTTCCCAATCCAGAAGCCAACTCTTCCCACTTACTCAATAAATACATATTGAGTTCTTAGTTTTGTGCCACAGTTCGTGCTGGGTGCCAGGGATGTAGATGAGAAGATGGAGTCCCGGCTTATGAGGACCTCACAGTCCAGCTGGTGAGATAGAATGCAGATGGATACTCTTGGTGCTGAGCTCAGCGACTTGTGGGAAGGGTGCTCTGACTTCTCTGGTCAGCTCCCCTTCCTCAGAGCCTGCATTTCCTGCACCATTCGCTCAAATTCCTGTCCACCGGCTCAGCCGTTCATTCATCCCACAGACATGGGTCATGAGCAGGTCTGGATGTGTTCTAGGAGCTGGGTAGACAGCAGGGAACAAAAGGAAGCTGCTACCTTCCAGGACTTTGTGTCACGACGGAGGAGGATGGACAGGAAACAAATAGGTAGAAAATACAATATTTAGTCGTGTTAAGTGCTGGGAAGGAAATAAAGTAGAGTAAAAGAATCAGGAGTAAAGGGGGTTCTGTTTTACACCAGGGGATCAGGAAGAGCCTCTCTGAGGAGGTAACATTTATTTATTTGTGTGTGTGTGTGTGTGTGTGTGTGTGTGTGTTTTATTAATTTTTTATATTTTTTTATAAACATATTATGTATTTTTATTCCCAGGGGTACAGGTCTGTGAATCGCCAGGTTTACACACTTCACAGCACTCACCATAGCACATACCATCCCCAATGTCCATAACCCCACCACCCTCTCCCGATCCCCCTCCCCCCAGCAACCCTCAGTTTGTTTTGAGGGATTAAGAGTCTCTTAATCCCGATCCCATCTTGTTTCATTTATTCTTTTCCTCCCCCCAAACCCCCTACATTGAATCTCCACTTCCTCATATCAGGAAGATCGTATGATAGTTGTCTTTCTCCGATTGACTTATTTCGCTAAGCATAATACCCTCTAGTTCCATCCACCTCGTCGCAAAGGGCAAGATTTCATTTCTTTTGATGGCTGCATAGTATCCCATTGTATGTATATACCAAATTTTCTTTACCCATTCATCTGTTGATGGACATCTAGGTTCTTTCCATAGTTTGGCTATTGTGGACATTGCTGCTATAAACATTCGGGTGCACGTGCCCCCTCGGATGACTACGTTCGTATCTTTAGGGTAAATACCCAGTAGTGCGATTGCTGGATCATAGGGTAGCTCTATTTTCAACTTTTTGAGGAACCTCCATGCTGTTTTGAGGAGGTAACATTTAAACAACGAATTTGAACTTGGTATTACCATTGTTGTTCACATGGCTGATTTTTTAAAAAATCCAATCCTCCTTCCAAGAAGAATTTAAGAACTTCACGATCAGTTTGCAAAGACCCAAATGTATACTTTTTTCTATATTCTTAAAGACTGCCCATATCTTTATTTTTATGTATCACTGTTTTGCTTTTTGTTTTTTTTTTCTGTATATAAATGTGTTCTAGACTTGAAGCAACTTGAGAACTAAGAACTAGACTCATTTAACAGAATTTTCTTGAGCGCGTCCTATCTGCCAGCACTGCTGGATGCTATAGCTGGCATTTTTGAGTGTTAGTATTTGCTTCTGCTTCCTGAAGTATAACATTAATATTTAATGTTAATAACATTTAAAACATTTACATTCAGTTAGTATTTACTGCTCATTGGATGAAGCACCTTTGGACTTCTCTATCTTGGTCCTCACGGCAATTTTATGAAGAAGGTAGACGCTCCCCGAGTGAGGGAGGCCACCAAGGCAGGCTCACCCCTTAACCGTGGGCCTCCCTGGGCCTCTTCATCTCTCCAGGGGCTCAGTTCTCCCTCTGTCACATTGAGGACGAGGATCCGGACTTGGCATGATTGTAATGAGGTGGAAATAGATGATGACGGGAATAAGCGTGGCCCTAAGTAGGATTCCGTGTAGACCCGACCGTTCTCCTCCCCACGCCCACCAGGTGTTCCCTAAGGTGTGTTTCTCTCCTCGCAGACACCAACGTGATTCGGTACATCCAGCTGACGGAGATGAAGCTCAGCCGATTCTCCCAGAGAGAGAAGGAAGCCATGTGACAGCTGCAGCCGCCCCCGAGGACGGACTTCCAGGCAGCCCCCCGGGCGAAGGGCCCCTCCTGGGTTTTGCTCCCTTATCCCCACGTCTGCCGGCTCCCCCTTTCTTCCTCCGGCTGCCCCTCAGCAATCTGTCTGCTCCCAGTGGGAAAGGAAGGAGAGGCAGATTTGGAACCTGGTGTGTTGCCTGCCATGGAGACACCCCTTCTCTAGCAGGTCCACTACTGAGAGGGACCTCACTTCTGCGGGGACAGCTGGAGAGGACTCTTCCAGGGCCCAGAACGCTGATGCAGCAGTGACTTCAGCCAGTGCTCCTGACAGAGGCAGAGCCTGGTAGATGTGCCGTCGCAGGCACGGAGCCCACAGGCTGGACCCCTGCACACTTTCCGGACAGACCAGAGCATCTCAAGGCAACCGTGACCAATCCAGGGAAGAGACAAACGCCAGAAGCATCAGGTTAAGCCAACAGACCGTGCATTTGTACACTGGGATCCCCCCCACCCCCACGCAGCCACCTCAGCCCCTGCCTCCCTCCCTCCACTTGTTGTCTTGGCCTGGCTTTCTTCTCTCCCCCTCGGGGATCTGAGACTGCCAGGATTCACAAGCCTCTGAAACCCACTCTCAGTGCCCTCGGGTGACCACACATACCATTCTCCCATACTCCCGCCCAGCAGGCAGCTGTGACAGCAGAGGGACAGGGTGAGGAGGGCCCCAGGCTGAGCACGTAGGTGATGGAGGGGAGGGGAGATGACCTCTAGGGGAAGGAGCATTGTCTAGCCTGCGGCATCGAACTGTGGACTCAGTAAGTGTAAATAAAAATAAATTAACAGGCAACAGCTCCTGTCATTTCTGTTGGAAGCAGCCCACTCCCTCGCTGTCACTCCCTCCCCCAACTCTGAGTCAGAGCTACTTACAGCTTCCCCCAAAGCGAGGGCCCATTTGTCCAGGGGTAAACAATGTTGGCTGCCGCCTCTGTGCGTTGGAGTGGGCTGGCCTTGCGGAGACTAGCCAGGGACTTGGCCTTGTGGGAACTTGTAGAGCCTCCTTTTGATGAAATTATCTGGACTCAATATCTAGCACATAGAATGTGTTCAACAAATATTTGTTGACTGAATAAATTATGACTGCAGACTGGCTCTCCTGCCTTAAACTAATTTTAGCCCAGCCTAGTCTCCTGATATCTATGCTCTTTACGCTCTGCCGTGTTGCTTTAGTCAAATAAGAAACATTTACTGAGGGCTTATCGTTTGCCGATCATTGTGCAATATGCCGTGGGACGGAGGACATCGTCCCGGTCTTGAAGGGGATGGAAGAGTTGAGAAATACTCGCATGAGATTACCACCAATGACACCTTTAATTTCTATGATGCTTTAAATTTTTCAAAGCACTTTCGTGTATTTTTTGTGTGATTAGTGAGACAAGATTGTACAAATTAAAATATATACAAATGCAATAATGTTAATAGTTAGCATTTATTAAATGCACTAGCCTCAGACACTTACACGTATAATCTCATTTCTTTCCTGCAATTACCCTCTGAGATACTATTCCCATTAGGTGGGTAAGGAAACTTAAAATCCAGAAACATTCCCTCCCCCAAGGTGATAGGGCCTTAAGTGACGTGGCTAGGATCTGAACCAGGTCTGTTTGACCCAGAGCTCTAAATGCTAACTACCCTAGTTAGCTGCTTTCTACGAAGTAGTCTATAGAGCTGTTACGACCATTAGGGAGTAGGACAGTGCGTATTCCGTTGAAAAGCCTTACTAGGCCAATAATGGTATATGGGCTGCCTCTGTATTTAGCCCAAGGTTTAAAAAGGTCCCTAACACCAACTCCTTAGTGGTCAAGGCAGTGACAGGCCAGAAAAGACAGCTGAGACCTAGCAGTTACTTCTGTGTATGATTCATTGTACTTTCTGATGTCAGCGCATATCCAAACCCACCCTCCATTTCCCCAGCCTTGGGGAAGGTTCACAATTATAGGTAGAGATCGAAAGGAAACACAAAGTTAATTATGGGTTCTTTGTGCAATCAGAGACTCCACCCCTGCAGGATCCAATCACTGCTGAGAGGCCCAGAAGCCAGCAGTCCAGGTTATAGTCCCATAGCTGCTGAAAGGCTTCCAACAGGGGTGTTAAGAAGGTGCTAGAAATACCCAGGGGCCCCGCAGTTGCCTGTCTATAGCTCACTTCTGGGGAAGAGGAAAAGGAAAATGCTGGTATCACTGCCACATTCTCCCCCCACTCCCCACTAGATCCTTCCCTCTGCCCTTTTCTTCCAGAACGGGTTCACATTTACCCAACTCAGAACCATCCTGCGTCAGACACAGCAAAGGCATATGTGCAAGTCTCCCCCGTTCCCAAGCCTCCAGCCCAGGAAGCTTGCGAGTTGGCAAACTGCTTGCCAGGGTCTGAAGGATGCCGGTGAGTTCAGAGGGGGGAGGCAGAACCGGTTCAAACCAGCAGGGTCTTCCTTTTGTCTTCATGCCATCAGGAAGGACTCGTACTAACTATCCCCAAACCAGAGCAGGAGAGAGGTCTTGCCTCAATGAGTAAGTTGGGGCAGAGCTGGACAGAGGGGGATAAGATCGTCACCATCCTTCTAAAGAGGAAGGTGGAAACCCGGAACTAGATGAGCACAGCGCTGAGCACAGATTCCCTGCCTGTCTGGTGGTTCGCGTACACTTGCTTACTGGAATCCGTTCAACTGTGACCCAACGTTAAGTGATTCCCAAAGTAAAAATTTGCCCAGGAGTGTTGTCTGATATTTGGGGTGGAGGGTGAAATTGCTGTGCATTTTGTCCAACAAAAATTTCAGAAAGCTGTTAAGCAAGATCAGGTCTATTCACCTTAGACGACTTCAGCTTCCTGCCCCCCCATCCCTCCTCAAAACACGGACTGTGATTTCATGACACCCTTTGTTTGCAGACGTCACTGCTGACCTGGAGCACTAATCCTGGATCTGACCTGCTGTGTCATCTCCTGCTTGGACTTTTGTGATAGACTCTTCGGGGAAAAAAATTATACTTTTCTTGTTATTGTTATGAAAGCCTCACATGTGTATTGTAGAAATTTAGCGGGGGGTGGGGGGTGGGGAGACAAACTCCAGCCCGTCATCCTACCACCCAAGACAAACATCACTGTCCTTTTAGACTTCTCTTTCAGTTCTTTGGGGTATAAATGTTCACATGCACATGCAGGGCTTGTTTTGTTTTGTTTTTAACAAAAACTGGATTACACTGTAAATACTCTTTAGTAACTTACTTTTCAAAATGTGTATTTATATTTTAGAATATGTAAGACACACACAGGTAATGAAATTCAAAAAGGACACAAAGCTCTAGAGTAAGAATTCAATCTCCTTCCCACCCTGTCTGCCAGCATCTAGTTTCCCTCCAAATACTTGTACTGTATATCCTTTCAGAAACATTGATGCATTTTCAAATATATGTGTATATATTCTTTTGTCACAAATGGTAGCATATCAGACACACCTTTTTGCCTCTTGTGCTATTTCACTTAACTCGATCATGAGCGAAACGTTTTGTGTGGGTGTCACTTGGACTTTTTCAACAGCATCTTCATTATGTGGATGGACTCTCACTTGGTAGCCTGACTCTTTACACGAATTATTTCATTTGTTCCCATTCTTTATTGTAAATAATGTTGCAGTAGGCATTCCTGTTGCTAAATTTTGCACACACCTATGGCTATTTCCTTGGGATAAAATCCAAGAAGGAAATTGCTTGGCTCTCTTTAAGAATTTTGATATATGTTGCCAACTGCCCTGAGAAGAGTTTGTACTAAACTTCGCCCCCTCCTGTTTGCAGGCTTGAGATTGCCCTGTTCCCTGCAACCTCACTAACGGTGGATATAGTCACTTACCAAACCTTTACCAGTCCGGTAGGGAAATAATAGTATGTCAGTGTCACTGGAACTCACACTTCTTTGATTATGAGTGAATAACCTCTTCAAACGCCTATTGACCCTTTGTACTTGTTTCCTTGTGATTTTCTGTTTATTTGATATTGGTATGTTTACCTTTATTCCCAATATGTAATTTTATTAAGAATATTAGTTTTGTCAAGAAACATTGCAAATATGCTTTCCAAGTGCTTTGCTTTTGAATTTTGTTTATGGTGCTTTTTGACACACATAAATTCTTAATTCTGCAATTAATCTGGATCTCTGTTGCCAGCTCCTTCTGCCGATGGGTCACCCTCTCATTGCTGTCAGAGCTCCCCCTCTCAACACAGTCTGATTCTGTCACTCCACATCTTAAATATCTTTAATGGCTCCTCACCACTTTTGGGATAAAGGCCAAACTCAGCATAACATGTAATTTCTCCCACGGACTCTTCCTGGCTTCCCTCCTGGTCCTCTTCCAAAGGTACCCTACATTTCACCATTGTTCAGCTCCTTGTGATTCCCCAAACCCATCGCTCTGGGTCTGTGGGTCTTTCCATGCGGTTCCCTCTGCCTAGCAGGCCACGCCTCACCCCTCAAACCCCCTCTTTGCCTTGCTAACTCCTATAGGACTCCACCAAGGAATCGCTGCTCCAAAGCTTTCCTTGACCCCATGGTTTGTACTCCTAAAGCAACATGAGCCTGCCTCTGCATAGCATTTGCTCCAAGGAATTGGAAATTCCGATTTGTGTTTGTCTCCCCCACTAGCTGACCATTCCTTAAGGCAGGCACTGGGGTTTACTCATTCTTTGCAGCCAGCATCTTGCACACAGTGTCTGGCACACAGTAAGTGCTTGATAAATGCCACTGAGCCCTGAATCTGAAATGAATGAATAATGGCAAATGAACAGCAGCACATGCTACTTGGGGAAAATGTAGGGTTGGACTGGATCTGTGCTTCTGAGAACCGAGAAACCCTAGGAAACTCAGTGTGGAAGAGAAGCCACATGCTCCAGTGTTGTGTTTTCCAGAACATCAGGATCACTTGGAGTGGCTTTTTAAAAATACACAATCTCAGCCCCTGCTTTAGACCCATTGGTTCAGACTCTCAAGACACTATAGTTTTTTTTTTTTTTTAAGATTTTATTTATTTATTCAACAGACAGAGATAACAAATAGAGAGACAGGGAGAGAGAGAGAGAGGGAAGCAGGCTCCCCGCTGAGCAGAGAGCCCGATGCGGGACTCGATCCCAGGACTCTTGAGATCATGACCCGAGCAGAAGGCAGCGGCCCAACCCACTGAGCCACCCAGGCGCCCAACACTATAGTTTTTGAAATGTCCTGAAGTATTTCTGATGACCAGCCAGGTGAAAGAGTACGGTGAGGTAGACCAGCAGACAGTGCAGAGCACCTGGCATTTCTAACCATGTGATTTCTAGGAGTGGACAGATGGAGCTTTGTTTGAATACCAGCTCTGACATCCACTAGCTGTGTGACCTTGAGGTTGTTGCATGACTTTTCTGATCCTCATTTTCCTCCCTTATATATGAGGATAATTTTATATTCCTTAATGGGCTATTGGGAGGATTAGGGAATAACTTGGCTCCTAGCTCAGTAACCCTGCACCGAATAAGCATGAAATAAACATTAATTTCCTTCCCCCAGTCTCCTGAGCCCCCAGTTCCTCAGTTATGGTAAAGGTAATACCTTGACATTCATCCTCCATTTTCCCACCCTGCACTCTAGAAGGAAGGAACTTCCAACAGGCCTGCGAGTTACTCTCTCATCAAACAGGACAAGGACTTGGTTGGGGGAAAGGGGCAGAGGAAGCCACATACTCTCTCACATGTCCTCTCCCAACATATCAGAGACTCCCCAACAATCACTTGGAAAAGTTCTGTTGGTTGGCAGAACCAAGTGTCTTCTAGTCGCATCCAAAGATAACCTAGTTTTCTTCCTGTGGTAGCACACAGAGGCCAGTGCCTTCTGTGCTGCAAGAGGAAGGCGACCGTCAGGAAACAGAGTAGCCATTGCCAGTTTCTTCCCAATGCCCTGGGATCCTACTCACATGCCTCAGGGCAGGAAAGAAGAAACTGGCTGTAAGGCAGAAATAGCTGATTTGCACTTGCTCTGATTAAGGTGCCCCTGTGTCCTGCTCCCAATACCTACTTGCCCTCTCCCCCCAGCCCAGAGCGGACCACACAGACAGGGAAAATGCATTCAGCCCATCAGGCATGACAGAGTTCAAATTACCAAGTCAGCATGAAAAGTCCCACTCTAAATGGACTGAAATTGGATTCTATTAAAAACCACACTCAGTGAGGCCCTTGGCTATTAATATTTGTGAAGACAGGGAGGAGGGGGAGAAGGCAGAGGCCCCTGAAAAAGGTTGGGGATCTCAGCTGTTCAGTTGAATTGCTTGTCTGGAAGCAAGCCCACAGCTGAAAGCCAGTTTGCCCTGTTTTCAGCATCTCACAGCGTATTAGGACCGGGAGGAACCTGAAAGCTCTCTAGTTTAACCTTTCATCTTACAGCTGAGGGATCAAGTCTAGGGAAGGTGAGTGTTCAAGGTCACATAGCTCATCAGTAACAAAGCCAGAACTGGAATTAGGTCAGTTTTCTGACAACAAATGTAATATTCTGTCTACAGAGCCAAAATACACTTACACAGCACCTGTCTTTAAAAAAATAAAAATAAAAAAGTAATGCTGTCAAGTTATTATCTTCTAGAGAAAGAAGGAACAGAGTACACATTCATTCATTCATTCACTCGGTATTGATCATTCCCCTCACTTCATTATAGGTGGTTCGAAGGTCAACGAAGTATTTTCCTTGCTTGAGAAGCTTCGAGTCTATAAAGAAGAAAGAAAAATAAAGAGACAACTCCGAATCTGTGTATGCCAAGGGCATACATGGAGGAGGCATCTGTACCAATCCTAGAAACAGTGAAGATTTTCCTGAGGGGGTATCAGCTAGCAGAGAAGAAGAGATGAGAGATGAGTGAACTTCAGGGTCAATGGCAAGGCTCTACTGCTCCTTTTCTTGGATGCACTATGAAAGGATTTGAGACAGTCATCACACGCTTTATCTTTTCTCACCCTTTTCCCGGTGTTCCAAGCCTGGGCTCAGGCAATGTCACTTTTACCACCTGGGTAAGCCCAAGGGCTGAGAAGTCACAGAAGACCTTACAGGTTGTAACTGATTAAATCCCCTCCGTGCAGAACAGGGACGAGAGGCTGCATATGCTATCTGTGATTACAGTCAGAAGCTCCTCAAGACTTGTGGCTTCTGTAACAGGCAGAAATTCTACACCACGTTCCACAAATGTACCTCCAGAGGCATATGTCATGGGTGCCCTGGGTATACTCCATTGTCCTGTGTTCTTTCCTTTCCTCTGATCTCAGCCTTTTATTCTACAGCAGCGCTGTCTGTGCAAAATGAAATGTGAGCCACCTAAGTAATTCTAAGTTTTCTAGCAGCCGCATTTAAAAAAGTAAAAGAAGGCAGAAAAATTACTTTTAATAATATACTCTGAACAAAAATAAAGTTAAGAAAATAACAAGAAAGAATAAAACACTCAGACACTGAAAAAAATAAAATTAAATTTAAAAAAATACTCGGGAATAAATTTAGCAAAAGAAGTACAAAGCTTAAACTCTGAAGACAAAATACTGTCGAAAGAAATTAAAGAAGACTTGACTATATGGAAAGATAGCCCATGTTCATGAATTGAAGATTTGACATTGTTAAGATGTTAACCTCCCAAACTGATCTATAGATTCAACACAATCTTTATCAATGTCCTAATTGACCTCTTTGCAGAAATTTACAAACTATTCTTAAACGCTGTATGGAAATGCAAGGGACCCAGAATAGCCAAAACAATCTTAAAAAAGAAAAGCAAAGTTGGAGGACCCTCAATTCCTAATTACAAAAGCTTACTTACTACAAAGCTGTGGTAATCAAGACCGTGTGGTGTTAGCATAAAGGTAGATAATAGACCAATGGAACAGAAACGATAGTTCAGGAATAAGCTCTCACTTTTTTTTTTTTTTTAAGATTTTGTTTATTTATTTGACAGACAGAGATCACAAGTAGGCAGAGAGGCAGGCAGAGAGAGTAGGGGAAGCAGGCTCCCTGCCAGGCAGAGAGCCTGATGCGGGGCTTGATCCCAGGACCCTGGGATCATGACCTGAGCCGAAGGCAGAGGCTTTAACCCACTGAGTCACCCAGGTGCCCCAAGCTCTCACCTTTATGGCAGATTGATTTTCAAGGATACTAAGATATTTCAATGGAGGAAGAAAGTGTCTTTTCAACCACTGGTGTTG